AAGTGAACACAAATTCCCGGACTTAACTAAGAAGCTATCCCCAACTGACACTCCCTTGAGAAGGAAAATTTAGTTTTCTCCAATGGGGTCTCACTGGGAATATCAACCACATTTCAGGGTAGGCCATATGCTCAGCAGTACACAGATAACGCATAATGAACTCAATAGTATTTTTGTAGACATTTTGTCTTATATTGCTTTATTTGGGCTTTTTTTGTCTTACTGGTCTTTTGCTTGTAGTGTGTATTTGTGGAGGACTATTTATAGTGTGTGTGTCTCTGTGTGTGTATGGGGGGGTGTAGACTAACAGAGGTTGGGTTGGGTAGCTGACTTCCCAGGATCCCAGTGTTTTCTGTTTATTTGTAGCTAAACTAAGATGACTCAAGGTACATTTATTTTTAAATGAGTCTTTAGACTTTATTTTTTTTACAGATTCCCCGACACCACATAAAACCAGACTTTGTAAGCACACGGTTGTAATCCTAGCACTGAGAAAGTAGAGGCAGGAGAATCATGAATTTAAGATTATCCTTGGCTATATAGTGAGTTCCAAGGCCAGCCTGAGTTACGTGGGACCCTGTCTCAAACAGTAACAACGATAAGAATAGCATTAAAATTCCAGAAGCTTCTGGCTAGCCGAACTTTGGCTTTCTAGAAAGTACTTAATAAAATGGTGACAATGCAGGAGTTGAGTCTAAAAGCTGGGCGTACCTCAGATACAATAGCCTGAGATTGTTAACGCACTCATTTTATCCAAGATAAGCACATAACTCTAAATTTTGAGGGTGTTAAGAGGGAAATATAGAGCAAATCCCCACCCAAATGTGGTGTGCACCATTCTTAGTCCAGTTGAGATCAGTGTCTCCATGACTAATCAGCACATGAAGTGTTACATGGAATCCTGTCAGTTGGTGGCAAGCATGTTCAGTAGGTTCACTGCAGACATTTGCGATGCAAGCTTCAATCCGAGGTTGACCACAGTGATCTAAAGTCTTGGTGGGTGGCCCAGGAGTTGCTAGCCACATGTAGGTTATTTTCAATCTCTGGGAGCTAATGTTGTCTTTTTCTTACCTTGAAATGCTAGTCATTGGGATGGAAAACTCTAAGAGAAGGCTTCGTCTCTCCTGCTGGAAGGTGATTGTGGGGAGCTCAGCTGGAAAGAGAAAATAGCTCTCTTTCTGTATGAGTGGTTTATAATCCAAGCTAATGCCAAGCTGTGTAATTAATAGCTCATTATAATTGGAAGTGAGAGTGTAATCCATCTTGCACATTCTTGTCTCTCCACCCATAGCTGCATCTCCACTTGTGAGTGGTGAAGCTTAAAGACAAGGCTGTATTTTGGAGAAAATCTCATTGGCTAATCTTTGTCATTCTTCACATTTCCATGAGAAAAAGAAATAGTTTATAATGGGTTTGTCACAGCTGACGGGGGCTTGCATGTGGAAGTCAACTGTTTAATGTCTCAGCAGGAGTTGAGGAGTTTTCATTAAGCTGTCTGATACAATTTCATCATGGTGGGAGCAGCTCTCTTTCCTAGGTTCTTTTGGGTTGAACAGAAAGTCACTAGAAAGTCAACAGCTTTGAATGGTTGGGGCATGTGTCTTGGAAGATGTTCCCAAGATTAATTTTCTACAAATTTGTACCTAATTGATTCCTGGGCTTGTTTTCCTAATGGTTTGCTTCTTCCCAAAGAATGGTTGGTGGCATATTAGTTACTTTTCTATTGCTGTGAAGAGACCCCCATGACCACGGCTACTCTCATAAAGGAAAGCATTTAACTGGGGCTGGCTTACAGTTTCAGAGGTTAGTTCGTTATCATCATGGTGAGGAGTATGGCAGCACACAGGCAGGTAGGCATCACACTAGAGCCTGGCTACTATACTGGATATTGCTATTGCACTCATGAACTTACAGCAGCTGTGCTTACCTGTGCAGAATGAAGCCAGTCAGAATTCTGGTGGGTACAGATGGAGGTGGAGTAGAGGTGCTCTCCAAGGCCCACCCTTAACTGGTGGGACCTATTGACAGTTGGTAGTTGCTAGGGGAGAGAGAATCACTCTCTACCAAGGGTGCAGCCACTAGAAGACTTCGCATATCCCAGTAAGGGGTCATGCACACATGCACATATGTGCAACACCAATTGGGTTTAGCAGATTATCAAAAATATGTTTTTAATTTGAGAAGGAGGAGGAACATGGAGAGAGTAGGAGGGGAAATTTAGAGAAGACCTGTGGTGGAAAGGGGGCTAGGTTGTAGAAGGAATGGCAGTCAACTGCCACTGAGGTTCAGAGGTGGGACATGAGCTCATTTGTCACGGGGTCTCAGCTCAGTGATGCACTGAGCTCAGGTGTTTACTCCCAATGTAAGGGACTGCTGCTGGGTCATATCAAGCAGGAGAGTGGCAGATTCATGTTCTTATGCTATGAAGGGAGTGATGAGCCCAGTTGGGCACAGTGGTGGTTTGTGTAGAGTTGTGGAGGGGAATTAAGAGAAGACAGGCAGATTCTGAATGCATTTGGAGGTAGAGCAGGTAGGACATGTTAAGTCAGATACGCGTAGGAAATGAGCCTTGGGGTTTTTGTAAAATAGGCAGCTGAATGGGGGTGGGGAAGTACTGTTGTCAAAGATTGAGGTGTGATAAGCATCAGTGGTGTCTCTTCTTTCTTCATTCTCAGGCACAAAAAGTATAAAATAATTAATACTGACTGTCAGCTCAGTAGGGTCTAACATCACCAAGGAGGTAAATCTCTGAGCATGTTTATGAGGAAGTTTATAGAGTGGGCTGAAGAAGAAATACCCACCCTAATGTAGGCATTACCATCCCATTGGGTGGGGTCCTGGACTGAATAAAAAGCAGAAAGAAAGGGAGCTGAGTGCTAGCACCCATTTTTTTCTGATGACATGTTCCTGCTGCCATGCCTTCCCACATGATGGAATATAGCCCTTTGAACTGTAAGCTGAAATAAATCTGTTCCGCCTTAAGTTTCTTCTTGTTAAGCATTTTATCATATCACTGAGAAAAGTAACTGATACAGATGGTAATTGCTCAGGTCTGCTTTGGTGGCTTCCCTTGTAGCTCGGTAAGAGCAGGTGGTCAAGTACTGGCCAGATCAGGCTAAGACTTCTTTGAAGGAGCTTCCAGGAAGTTCTGACTCAATTGAGAGAAGCTGATTCCTTTTCTCTGCCTTTCCTTGTTGCTTGGAATGACCATGTGATCACTGGTGCTTCAGAGGTCATCCTGTGATCTTGAGTGAGAAGCGGCTTAGGTGTCTGAAGGCTATTATTAAGTCATGATATTAGAGCAAAGGTCATTTTGTGCCTGTGACTATCATTCGAAGCTTTCTGTTCTATGCAGTTGACCTTGTTCTGGAGGTAAGATGATGGTAGGAAAGAGGCCAATTATCTATGTGCCTAAGGAAGAGTCAAACGGCCCTCTAAATGTCACTGTAGCATTGTCAAATGGATCTCTGTACAGATATATAGAGCTCATTAATGAATTATTAATCCCTGTGCTGCATATAAGAAATAAGTCTTTCCTATGTCCTGTAAGAAAATCAATTTCCTTATTAGCTTTCTGAAATTGGAGAATAGAAATTGGACACAATGCTCTAAGCAAACATGTTTTACCATCCTGGCTGTAATAAATCAGTCGAGTACTTTCTCTGCATATGCCCAGGCATTGGTCAATCTCTTCCAGGCAGAGCTGAGCACAGTACAGGTCAGAGCGCAAGAGTCAAGAACCCAGTAGAAAATAAAAGGACTCCTAGAGAGCTCTTGCAGGCTTCAAAAAATACTTCCACTTCTCTAGAGACACAGGGGGCCATCAATTAATTGTGAAGGTGTGTTCACATGTAACTAGGTTTGCAGGGACTTTAGGGGGAAGAAAACCAACACAGTATCCAGAGTGTCACGTGACTATCTTTTTCTTGTACAATATCCTCTCCAGACCAAAGAGTGTTTGCTGCTCAAATTTAATCCATTCAAACTTTAGCAGACATTCAGTGGGGGGTCTGAACCATCTCTAAACTCTCACACCACATGGAGAGAGGTCCCTGCTGTTGCTGGGATCTGGGGAGTATAAAGTAAGATGCAATAACTACTCTCACATAAGAGATCCACTGAAGTGTGTGGAGGCAAGCTGGCCCAGGCACACACACAATCCCAGGCTCGTGCAGAGAAACAGCACATGGGTTTATGCAAACTACTACTGTTTTCTTAAATTCACTTGACAATGGAAATAAGTGATGTGAATATTTAGCTTGTTACTCATAAATAGTGTAAAGGACCCTGAAGGTTCAGGGTACATGTTTCCTACGTATGTATTACTTGTTCTTGAGTGGTGTGGGGAACCAGAGCACAGCTCCATGTTTGAATTCATTTGATTCTTCTGCGAACACCATGAGTCATGAGCTGTGAGCATGCTCATATGGGTTACTGAGATGTATGTGAAAAGGTTATCTTTTTTTTCCTCTGGCCCCTTCCTGTGTCTGTGATTCCTGGTTGTCATGAATGTGGTAGCTTTGTTCTACAACATGTTGCCTGTATGATGCTCTCCCTTACCAAGTCCCAGGAGCAATGGAGTCAGTGACACACACTGATGCTGCTGAAACCATGGGCCATTCTTCCTTGGTTCCAGGCACTGGTCTCCTAACGGTAGCACACTGTAGTAGCATGGTTCCATTCCTGGAGGATGCTGGGAAAGCCCTCACATAAGGCCTATGATGTTCATGAAGGCTGAGCAATTTTTCGAGGTCTTTTATCTTCCTCCATCTCATGTAAGGTATGCAGTCCATTCAGCTAACTTCATGGTGGTATTGGAATAGAACGCCCAGCTTCCTTAGGTCGTTGGGACACAGGTGAACAGTGGTGTTGGTAACTAAGTTCAGCAACCTGCTCTTTTGAGAATCCTTTTGTTTTCTTCCATGCTTGGGGTTTCAGGACTGCAGCCAGTGAAGTCTGAAGCACGGAGTCCAGGCAGACACATAGTATAGCTGCAGTGGCAAGACACAGAGACAGGAGTGTAGCCTTGTGCCGTCCTCAACCCGGGTATTGCTTGCTGTTGGTATGTGGTCCATCTGGAGTGAGAAAAGCTATGTGGCCTCTAGACTTGCCTTGGGGAATGGGACATAGTGAGAATAGTGTTATAGTTTTTGTACCAAAACACTCAGACCAAATACAATCAAGGGAAGGGGAAGGGTACATTTCACCTTATAAGTAGTCAGGGCAGGAACTCAAGCAAAAACCAAAGAGGACACTGCTTGCTGGTTTACTTGAATGCTTCCATATAGTTAGCTTTCTTATACAGCCCAGGACCCTCTGCCTAGGGAAAGCGGCCACTCACAGTGGGTTGGGTCCTCTTACATCAATTAGCAACCAAGACACGCCCCCAGAGACATACCCATGGGTCAATATGCTCTGGGCAATCCCTCAGTTGAGACTCCTTTCTAAGATGACTCTTGTCTGTGCCAAGTTGACAAAGCTAAGTAGGACAAGCAGTGTCTCCAGGTGCCAGAATGTACCCGTGTGTCATCGTGGAGGTGACCAGGATGGTTTGATGGAAGACAAGAACCCTTGTGGGGATACAGACTCTTCCAGCTAAGGGCAACCTAGGCCAGGCAGCTGATAGATCTCTGATAAGGACCAGGCACCATCAGCTAAGCCTAATTCAGACAACAGGACTGCAAACTCCTGAGCTATAATCATCATAATATACTACAATAAATTATAATTAGCCAACTCCATTATATAATCACAAGTAAGTTACAATAATAAATGATAATATTAAGTTTTGTTACCTGTTGCTATGGAAAAATATGTGACAAAAGCAACATAAAGAAGGAAGGGTGCATTTTAATTCACAGTTTGAGGGCATAGTCCATCATAGTGAGGAAGGCATTGAAGGGAGCAAGCAAAAGGACTTTGGCCTAAGTACCTCCATGTTGACTTCAGACTTCATTTCACCTGTAGGGGGAAACAAAGTTCAGGTTCTCAAGTTTTAGGGGAGCTGAGAGCTTTCCAATGGCTAACCAGTCTCCTCCCTAAACCATAGAAATAGTCGTTATGCATCTTTAGTTCTTTAGAAACATTATGGCTGTTCTTAACAATAGAAGGAACAAATAAATCTGATTGGTTGAAGTGAAAGGCCTGTATTGTATGTCAGTTGACAATGATGGAATGCACAAGGAATATGCCCAGTCTTTAACTTATGATTGGTGAAAACTGTAAGTATAATTTGGCAACAAATGTTTGTGATTTTTGTGCTTATAAACCCCACTTCTGCCCCTGCTCGGGGCTGCCAGGAGGAACAAGACTCCCAAGTCCTTGTCCTACAGTCCTGATTGCTCAGCAACTTACTTAGGTGGTGAACTATTAAAATCTTTGGAACCCTTACATGTTGTCTCTCTCCTTTTTTGTGGTGCATAATGGACATGGGCATAACAGGCATGAGGCAGGTCACACAGCATCCACAGATAGCATGGAGAGATGGATGCTGGTGCTCAACACACTTTCTCCTTTTTATTCAATCAGGGGCCCCAGTTCATGAGTTGGTGCCACCCACATTCAGGATGGGTCTTCCCTTCTTAGTAAGTCTATTTGGGAATGTCCATACAGACACATCTCATGTGTCACCTCTAAATCCCGCAAGGTGACAGTCATGATTAACCATCACAGTAAGTGAAACAGTTCAGTCCAATTCTCTAGGACAGTGGTTCTCAACCTGTGGGGTGTGACCCCTCCATAGGGGTCATCTAAGACCATCAGAAAAATAGTGATATTTGCATTATGATTCACAACATAGTAAAACTACCGTGATGAAATTGCAACAAAAACAATTTTACAGTTGCAGGGAGGGATCACCAGAACATGAAGAACTGCAGTAAAGAATTGCAGCACGAGGGAGGTTGAGAACCACTGCTCTAGGATGTTGCATGAATTGTTGCGCAATGACAGCTGAGGGAAAAATGGCTTCTTCCTGCATTTCAGCCAGATTCTGAAAAAACAATTCACATACCACGCTACTGTGGACATTTTCAAATACAGTCACTCTGTCGACTTGTAATGTAGAGGTTGAGCTAGGATCTATACGCTTATGAGAAACAAGCTGAGTCGATACTTTAAAATTGAGACATTTCATATAAGAAATCCAAGTCTCAACCTCTTTCAAGAAATGAAAGATCTGTCAATGTATTCCCTGAGGGCAGTTGTGCACAGAGCAAAGAGCCAGCTGTGGAGTTTGCACGGTGCCAGCTCTGGTCCTTGCCTCTGGGGTCAGGTGCAGGACCACAGAAGGGACTATTGCAGACACACTACAGATGGTTCTTAATTCTCCTCTAAATATGTGAGCCCAGGTTCGTGTTAAGTTCCTTTGAGACCAGATGAACCATGACACAAAGAGTTGGCTGGCCCATGCCTGACACTTGGAACCCTCTCCACCGTTATTACCATTGTTGCTGTCTTCTCTGGAACACACTGGACCCTGGACCCTGCAGGCATTCAGGGTACTCATTGCTGTCTTGACAGTCCTTCCTTTTCCCATACCACCTTTCCCTCACTGTGAATATGAGTCCATAAAACAGAGAGCAACTGGTTAGAATCCAGACTGGAGGAGTCGTGAAGCTGGCATACCCCACTGAGGTGGAGACCAGAGAATCAGGAATCCAATCCACTGAGAGCAAGTATGAGGCCAGTGTAGACTATAGGAGACCCTGTTTAATAATAAGCAAATAAAACTGGGTGCAGTGGTTCATATCTGTAATCCCAGCATTTGGGGAGGCCCGTGCAAGAGGACTGCTCAGAGTTTGAGGCCAGCCTGTACTAATTTAGTGAGTTTCAGATCCAGGATATCCCAGACAACATTGAAACCCTGTCTCGGCAAAATAACTTAAGTAGGTATCAGAGCCGAAGAGAAGGCTCAGAGGTTAAGGGCATTGGCTGCTCTTGCAGAGGACCCAGATTCAATTCCTGCTTCCTCTGTGGCAGCTCACAGCTGTCTGTAACTCCAGGTCTGGTGATACAATGCCCTTTGGTCTCTGTGGGCACCTACATGCATTTGGTACACCTAAATTCATGGGGCCGGAGGGATGGTTCAGTAGTTACGCTCTTCCAGAGGACCTGTGTTCAGCTCATAGCACCTATGGCTGATGACTAACAATGATTTTAACTCAGCTCCAGGGAACCAACACCCTCTTCTGTCTTTTGTGGGCATTGCACACATATGCATTCCCAACCCAACTGTACCCCAATACACACACACACACACACACACACACACACACACACACACACACACACACACAGAGTAAAAGAAAATATCAAACAATAGGATTTACTCACTCTCTCCATGTACCACACACATTCTAACTTGCACTGTGATCATGATTCCAGAAGTTTCTGCGTGCTGGCCTTTGTCCCTGCTCCTTACCTCTGGCTTTCCTCACCTGATCTCCCTTAGGATAGATTGTGAGGGTTTTATTTTTAAGGGCTGGTATAGAGATGGAATCATGTGGTCTGCAAGCTTCAAGATTGGCTATGATTATTACTAATAGTGCAAAATTGGATCTAACTTAAAAGCACAGCAGTAGGAACATTTTTAATAAATAGTTATTGGCACTCTGTGACCTGCCATGCAGACGTTGAAACACAACATATGCTAGAGCTGTCTGTGCTGCCAAAGGCAGACATCTAGATATAGGAAGATGCAGGCAGATAGTCTGAGCCTGCTGTCATTCATGTTCCCACCCCCATCTATAGGTTCTGTGTAGACACAAAGAAAGAGTATTGAAGCATACCTACAAGACAGACGCCAGTGGATACCCACAAGGCTCAAGGGCGAACCTGTGTTGACTCCCACTTTGCACCCATCGCCCCTCCTCCCTATTCTTATGGCACTCCCAGGTGGAGGCTTTATTGGTAACATGCTCTTCTCCTTACATTGTAAAGGGAGAGAGAAAGGAGGTGGGGGAGACATGGAGAGAAAGAGTCAGGGAAGAGGGACAGAGAAAGAAAGAGAGCAGAGAGCTAGTGGGGGAGGAGACAGGGGTAAAGGAAGAGAAAGGAGAGAGACACACAGAAGAGAAACAGGAGGGGATAGAAGGGGGAAGAAAAAGGGAAGAAAGATGGAGATAGGATATAGAGAGAGAGAGAGAGAGAGAGAGAGAGAGAGAGAGAGAGAGAGAGAGAGAGAGAGAGAGAGAGAGAGAGAGAGAGAAAGAATGAAGACTGGATGTCTTTTTCAACTTCATCTTTTATTTATTTTATACATATTAGTGTTTTTTTCCTGCATGTATGTACGTGCACCTTTTTTGTTTCTAGTACCCATGGAGGCCAGGATAGTAAATGAGGTCCTCTAGAACTGGAGTTATGGATAGTTTTGGACCACTAAAAATGTGCTGGTTATCAAACTTGGGTCCTCTTAAAAGAGCAAGTACTCTTAACTGCTGAGCCATCTCTTCAGTCCCTTTTTTCATCTAATAATGACAGGAGTTATTAGATAGTTATAGTTTTGGAGGGTCCCCAGTCCCATACATAATGCTACCTAAAGCTCACCGTTTTGTATCCTGAGACTCCACAGTGTGGACACAGCAGCATAAGAAAGCTTTCTGTGATCAGTCAAAGCCTAAGTCCTCAGGGTAATCATTACCTCCTGCAATTTACAGACAAGCCATTCTTTAAGCTAATCCTGTGAGTGAGCAACACACTCACCTGCAGACAGCCTACTCCTTTCAATTCTAAGCCAGTCATGGTTTTTGACTCATTTCTGGTAGGTTGTAGAGTATCTTCAGGCAGACAGGATCAAATACAAAATACATTCTTATTCCCTCTACTTTTATTTACACACAGTTGCCTGCTGCCTAAACTGTATTGTAACCCACTTCCCACTCTGAATTGCTTCTCTTTCTCCAACAGTTTTCGATCTTTTTACCCCCCCTTTTTTTCTAGATACACAGCATGCTATTACACATTCCAGTGAATGGTTCAATGCACTCTATCCCAACAGTCCCTTATGAATGAGCATATGGCCTTTCTCCATCACTTGTTATTACAAAAAATGCAGCAAAATTAAATACTCCTGTACACGTGCCACACATGTACAGGTCTACAGGTGAAGGAAACTCACAGGTGCGGGTGGAGGGTCAGAGGTATGTACATCTGTAAGCTGGTGGCTTGCTGCCAAGTCTGCCCATATGGAGCTTGTATCGGTTTGTGTTTCCAGCAGCGACGTGCGAGGCCTTTCTTCCCACAGCTTCTCCAACACAGCGTGTTCCCGTGTGTTGGGATGTGTGCCAATCTGCTGGGGTGAAAACATGCCGCCGTTGCCTACTTTTAATTTACACTTGGGACGTTATGGAGTCTGCTTCAATCTCTTTTCATGTGTTTGGGAATTTTTTTTCTTTCTTCTCCACATAGTTCTTGTGAAAATGACATTTCTAATTCTCTGTTTTTCCATTAGCAGGTATTTCCCTAGAATGCCGGGGCCTCATCTTACCCAGAATGCCCCAGTACTCATCTTACCCAGAATGCTCTGGTTTTTATTTTAGTGAGAATATCCTGATCCTCTGCTTACCCAGAAGGCTCTAGTTTTTATCTTACCCAGAATACCTTGGTCCTCACCTTTAACCACAATCCTCAAGACTACCCAGAGGAGCAGTATGCCACTAGGAAGACTCCCAGAATACAGCAAGCTTTTACATTAGTGGTTGTAGTTTTATTACTGTGGGAGGGTCAGATCAAAGGCAGCAGATGGGAGGATGCTTTGACAGGTCCAAGAGAGGCAAGCTCTTCATGAGAATCAAGTGGACACCATAGCCAGAATATGTAGACTGTTGCCAGCCTACGTGTCTTATCAAAAAACAAACAAACAAACAAACAAACAAAACAAAAACCAAAACAAACCCAAAATTATCAAAAACCCTCCACTTTGCTATCTGGAGGTTTCATTGGATATCATTAGTCCTACAAATGCTAGATGACCACACAAGACAGATGACCACCACTGACAGTGATCACCACCGACCACGTCTCCCAGTTGCCGATGCCCACCACTGACCACACTCACGGCTGACGTCATTTACCAATGACCATGAATATAGCTGACCAAGCTCATGGCTGACCATGTTCACATCTGACTGCTGAGTATTGACCACATAGGTAGCCATGCTCATGGCTGATCTCACTGTAGCTCACCACGGTCACAGATGACCACATCCAACCAACACTCATGACCAACAGTACCACTTGTTCCTCCTTATGCTGAGCTGATAACTGCATGCACCTTTTCACCATAAATCCCACTCACTATCTGGTGCTGGCAAAGGGTCTCAGGTAAACAAAGCCACCTGAATTAGGAAAGCCAATCCCAAAGGTTCGGAGGTGGCGTCTCAGGACTCCGTTAAAAACAATCATGACCAAGACACAGTGGTTCATGCCTGTCACCCCTGCACTTAGGAGAGTGAGGCAGGAAGATGCAAGTTCTGGTGCTGCCCGGGCTATGTCTCAAAATGAGCTCGAGAAGCTGGAAGTGTAGTTCTCTGGCAGAGTACTTGCCTGGCATTCTTAAGTTCTGAGATCCATCCCCCACCACGCACAAACACATGCACGCCCAGGGTATCTCTTTTCTTTGCTAGCCCTCTGTTTTGTCCTTCAGAAAGCTATCCCCAATGTTTCCCTCTTCCATTCCTTGACTGTCCCTCTCTTTTGATGCCAGAAAATGAAACAGCACAGATCTTGTCCAGACTGTCAGTGACATCCAGGCTGCTGAGTGTTATGTTTAACTCTCAGTCTTTCTTGTAGTTCACCTTAACAAGCAATGAAACAAACTGGTTATTTCTTCTTTTCCCCTTGTTTCTTGTGTGTGTGTGTGTGTGTGTGTGTGTGTGTGTGTGCGCGCACACACACACACACGCACGCGCACACATTTTTCTTTTCTTTTCTTTTTTTTTTTTTTGTTTTACAAGGCAGGGTTTCTCTGTATTGTTTTGGAAGCTGTTGTTCCAGCCTGGCCTCGAACTCACAGAGATCCGCCTGTCTCTGCCTCCCGAGTGCTGGGATTAAAGGCATGTGCCACCACAGCCCCGCACGCGCACATTTTTTTTTGTGTGTGTGTATGCACAACTTGGTGTGCATGCATGTGAGAATGTTGAGGTCAAAGGTTGATGTTGGGTACATTTTTCAACTGCTCTCCACCTTATTTGTTTTGAGACAGGGTCTCTCACTGAACCCAGAGCTCATGGGTTTAGAGACTGGCTGGCCAATGAGTCCCTGCAGTTCACCTGTCTCTGCCTCTTCAATGCCAGGATTAAAGTGAGCGCCACCAGTACGCCTCCCTTCCTGTAAAAGTAAATAAAGCACAGGTGTGTGGAAGACATCTTCCCTCATGATGGCTTGAGGACCAGTTTCTTTCCATTTTTCCCTCTTTTCTGTTCTCAGCTGGAGGGGGCAGGGAGAAATTGTGGCTGGCAGATATTTTGGAACCGACACTTCTGCAGCCCAGTGGCCAGGTCTCAGCTTCCAGAACACTGGGAGCTTGAGTTGAACCGTGTCTCCAAGAGAAGCCCATGCATTTGAATGGCTACTCAGGCCCTCCTTCAGCCATGAAACTCACCAGTTTCAGCTGGGCCAGGACCAGGCTCAGCTGTGAGACTGAGTACCGGCTATAATGGATGAAGATGCATCAAGAGGGCAGTGGCCAGGCAGCCACCGGGATTCCCACACACACTTGCAGTCACCAGCTCCGGAGTCTTTACCAGATCACGTCTAAGCACATCCCTTGCCTCAAACTGTTGGTCGGTATTTTTAGCAAGGCCGAAAGTTCCCTTAAGCATCATAATTATCTCCACCGGAGCTGTCAGGAGCTTTTACAGTTAAAGAGGAAGGCGGCCTGCAGCCGTTGTGATAATAGGGCGCAGCTGCAGAGCGGAGCTCCGGAGGCTGCTTTACATATGGACTGTGGCCGCGATTGTCCTTCGGGGAGCCGTCCAGGCATAATTTCTCTTCAGTAGAATGGAGCAAGTTATTCTGACCCATACAGCTTGCACCTCGGGAGGGGAGAAAATAAATCCACTCAGTAAAGAGAGTCTTCTCTTACTTAGTGAGTTCTGATGAACCTCCGGGGGCTGGGGCAGGGCTGGTCTGAAGATGGCAGTAGCGGCCACAGCAGACATGCACAAGCCCTGCAGTGTTGAAGTGTCTTCAGCATCTGGAGGCTGCAGTCAGGAGGGGAGCCAGAGTCTCCTCAGGATGCAAGATGCCATCTTGGAAGAGGCTCTGAGGCAGGTAGGGGCTAATGTGATGGTCGAAACAGTGAGGTCTCCTCAGTTTGAGGTCAGAGTCCTCTGGCACTCGGTTTTGTGACCCTGGGGAAGTTTCTGACTGTCTCCGTGTTTTAGTGATCATAGATATGAAATGGAGGCTAGGGTACCTCAGCAGAGGCCCCTGGCATCAAGTGGGTTCTCCGTCCATTTACACAAAGAAACCAAGGGCACTGGACTCAGCAACTGACAATTTGGAGGTCCCATGTATCAGGATGTCATGTCCCCCTGTCCTTCTGTGTGAATCAGATCTGCGTGACCCGGGATCTGTGTGAATCAGCAACTCTAGTCTGGATGGTGCTCATCGTGAGTTGAGGGAAAAGAAGGGCCAGGGTGGGCCATGCAATGGAGTTTTTTTCAAAGAAAAGACTTATTTCATGTGTCTGTATGTGTACCTGTATGTGTCTGTTTGCGTATCATGTGTCTGTAAGTATATGTGGGTGCATGTATGTGCACCATGTGCATTCAATTCCCACAGAAGTCAGAATGTGTTAGAACACCTGGAACTGGTGTGATGGGTGTTGTGGGCACTGGGGCTTGAACTTGGGTCCTCTGCAAGAGCAACAAGTGTTCTAAGTCACTGACCTATCTGTCTAGCTCATGCATAAAGGCTTTTTAGAGCCTCTGAAGAACATCAGTCTCTGCTTAAATTCTGTGAGGGAGGTAGGTCTCATGCTGTGTCTATGTTCATGGCAGGAAGGAGGGATTTCTCTCAGGGCCTGTTCCTCAGGATAGAGCAGGAGGGGTGCTTCAACCGTCTGTGCAATCTGCCACAGGCCAGTGGCTTTCATCAACAAACTTTGGCATTCGGTTGAACCTTAAGATTTAGAAAATCTCAATTTCCTTGTGTATGTAAATGTGTGTGCTTGTGTATGTAAATGTGTGTGCTTGTGTATGTAAATGTGTGTGCTTGTGTATGTAAATGTGTGTGCTTGTGTATGTAAATGTGTGTGCTGGCAAGTGCCTGTTTGTGTGTGCTTACGCATGCACCTGTGTGCACATGCTATGGACGACAGAGGTTAATCTTGGGTTCTGAGGAATCTGGGGGAACTGTCGACTTGACTTTTGAGACAGGGCCTGACATTGGCCTGTAGCTCTCCAAGGATGCTAGGCCAGCTGGCCAGGGAGTTCTGGGGGTGGCCTATCACCATGATCTCTCTCTCTCACACACACACACAATGGCACTTAAAAAAAAAGAGCACACACACCTGTTTTTTTTTTTCTTGGGTTCTAGGGACACAAACTCAGGCCCTCGTACTTGTGTGGTAAATGCTTTACCAACAAAGTCATTTCCCCACCTCAAAAATTTCAAGTAACACACACACACACATTCAAATTTTATACAAACACACAACTCACATAGAGATAGATTGCATCCATCCATCCATTCATCCAGAAGCCTATAGGGTCTATGTCAATCACCCTTGGTGGATGTTGGATGTTATCAAACCTAGTACATGCTCACTCCGTTTGTTCTATATGTATGTATGTATGTGTGTATGTATATATGTATGATATAATGTATAAGCTAGTCACAATAAGAGGTTAATAGGGCCATAGTTAGTAAATTGATTGTCACATAAGCATGAGGACTTGATGTCAACCCCCAGAATGCTTCTTATTGGGGGGGGGTTGAGACAGAATTTCTCTGTGGCTTTGGAACCTGTCCTGGAACTCGATCTTATAGACCAGACTCGTTTCAAACTCACAGAGATCCGCCTGCCTCTGCCTCCCAAGTGATGGGATTAAAGGCGTGCGCGACCACTGCCAGGTTCAGAATGCTTGTTTTTTTTTCCAAAGCCAGGTAGGTGTAGAGTCTGGAGAGATGGCTCAGCAATTAAGAGCACCTGCTGCTATGGCAGATGCCCTGGGTCCTATTCCCAGCATGGCCACTCACAACCATCTGTAACTCTACTTCTAGAGGATTTGATGCCCTCTTCTGGCCTCCATGTGCACCATGCAACCATATGTTTAGATACACATGCAGGCAATATACATTACAATAAAACAGCCATATACATTTACAATTAAAATAAAGTAAAAAGATTAAAAAGCAAGGTGCAATGGCACATGTTTGGAACCCCAGTGCTGGATAGACAAAGGCAGGCAGACCCCTTAGGTTTCCAAATCAATGAGAACAGGGCTATGAGAGGACCTGTCTGGAGAACAAAAGCAACCCTGTGAGGTGTGCAGGGGTGAGGAGAGGCGTGTGTACATGATGGCAGGGAAACTGGTGCTGTGGTTAAGAGCAGAGTGACCAACACTTGGAGAAACGTGTTTGGCTATAGATTCCTTTAATCTCTGGTGTCGGCTATGTGTGTGTACATGTGAATGCACACAGTGGGCCCTCACTGGCAGGTATGTGGAGGAACAGCATCATAAACAAAGCTGCAAGGCACAGGGGAGTGGTGACTTTGAGGAGCCTGGACTGTGTCTCATGTTCTCCTCCTGTCCAGGTAGGAACCTAGCAAACCCTCCTTTTAGCATCTCCAAGGGAAGCTCCCAGCCCTCAAGGCTTCTTCTCATCCATCCATGCAGCTAGACTTCTGGTTGTTACACGGTCCACTGTAAACAGCCCTTTATAAAAGCCTGCTTGGAAGAGTGAACATGTGTGAGGCCTCTCTTTCCTGTCTACTTCCCACAGGTCAGGGAAAGGTTCCCAGACTCAGGGATTCAGCAGGATGCTCCCACCCCTACCCTGGGGACAGGGCAAGCCCTTGTACCACTGCCCCAATGCAGCATTCTACAGCTGCACAAATTTCCCCAGTGCAGAAAGCCTCCCAGGTACCGCGGCCAGCTGCCTTCTCATACTAAGCGCACTGCAGGCCGTTCCTGCAGAAACAGAAGCACCAATGAGGGACTGCAAATTGAAGCACCAATGAGGGACTATAAATTTCAAAGCAGGTGTGTGAAGAAAGACTGCCCCCCACTTCAGCAATCAGAGGCTGGCTTGGCTCATGTGTGGGTATCTAGAGCCAATGTGGGGGCTGGGAGTTCTTAGATGGGATGTGCGATTTCTTGGTGATTAGTTTGGGGGGTGACATGTCCTGGCTGCAGATGCTGGAGAGCCACAGCTCCCAAGAGCTTCACAGAGTTCTCCCACCAGGCACTCACATAACCATCCATCTCCTTCTCCACCCTCATGGTGGAGCATGGGACACCAGGTTTGGCTACCAGTGAAGATGCCCTTGTCAGTGTTTGAGAGCTGGAAGGAGGCAGGGCCTTCCAGCAAGAGCAAGAGCCATCTTTATCATAGCCTGGGCAGATGGCTGGAGGGTAGGTGTCCTGCCAGCATCACCACAAAATGTGTTAGCCATGCCCCCTGGCCCCAAGGCTGGCTTCAGTCAAGGTGAAACCTGTGAGCAGCCAGAGCTGAGGGGAAGGGAGTCAAGGTCATTGTGTTTCCTCCCCATAACTGCCTTAAGAATCAAAGCCCCACTGCAATCGCCCTGTGCCCACACACCTTGTAAAATCAAGTGTTCACTGAGGCTATGGAGTACAGGGCTTACCCAGCATGAATGAGGCCCTGGGTCCACCTCTAGTGGACGCATGCACACACACACACACACACACACACACACACTCACTCACTCACTCACTCACTCACTCACTCACTCCTGATAGGCAGCTCACAGATCCAGGGGATCTGATGCCCTCTTCTGGCCTCTGCAGGCACTTTAAAAGTAAAAATTCATCTAAAAAAAAGAAACCTCCAGGGCTGGGGGGATGGCTCAGTGGTTAAGAGCACTTGCTCCCCTTCCAGGAGACTTGGGTTAGATTCCCAGCCCTCACATGGAGATTCACAACCATCTGTAACTACAGTTACAGGGGATCCAGTGCTTCTGGTCTCTGAGAGGCACCAGGGACACAAGTAGTGTACATACATACAGGCAAAACAGTCACACATAAAATGAAATTAAATAAATCTAATACAGAATTAAAAAAAGAACCACATTGTTATAAACAGTGGTGGGGCCATGACAAGCTGCAAACAGAGATAAAAAGCTGCCTGGAGGATGAGCCAGTTGCTGCCATGTGCAGATGGGTCCGGTATTGTTGTGGTAACTCTTTCCGCCAGCCTGGTCCTAGTGCCGCGTCAACCCCAAATAATACACAGAGACTCTATTAGTTACAATGCTGTTGGCCAGTGCCTATGGTTTCTTATTGGCTAGCTGTCTGTCTTAAGTATTAAATCATAACCCATACGTAGCTTTACAAGGTCTTATCTTACAGAGAACACCAGACTCATGTGTCCTCTCCTCCCAGGATCACATGGTGACTCCCTAATACATTCTCCAGAATCCTCCTTCTCTCCTAGTCCTGTCTATCTTGCTTCCCTATTGGCCAACAGTGTTTTATTCATTAACCAATAAGAGAGACATATACACAGAAGGACTTTCCCCATCATCTCCTCTTTTCTGTCTAAATAAAAAAGAAATGTTTT